AGCCAATTGAGTGATTCACTGGCCGCGACGCGACCGCAGACGCTAGCGAATCGCGCGATTCGCAAAGTCTGACATCGGCCTAAGAGGGTGATACGCCTTCATTAAAAATGTTTTTATGGGAATGATTCTATCAAGAAAGGATTGTTTGCTCGACATATCAATCGAAATTGATTTAGAGTGAGGTTTTATTGCCTTCTTGTGTGCCAAGTCGGCAGCAGTGACTCAACGTAATGGCTGAGGTCAGCACACTTTTGGCCGGCCAGGCCTTCGAGCCCTTCCAAACCTGTCTCACGGCTGCATGGAATAAGTTCTAGCTACAGTTCTTTGTTTAGGATGACGACGCGCAGTTATGTAAAGCACATGAGAGGATTCGCGAACTCAACAGTGAGCTTCTCATGCAGGGCGATGCATCGGCAGAAGTAAGCCTAGCCATTTGTCTTCGCCGTCGTCAGCTTGGGCCATAAAGTGTGGCGTGATTAGCGGTTTGCCCAAGAGGAGTGATTAATGATATCTCTAGGTGTAACGCATTACATTCACAAGCCAAGCCATAGCCGTCAGTTTGTCCCATCCGGTTACCTCAGCTACGGCATTAGCAGTGCTAGCAACAATGAATTTTATCGAGTTACTGGGTTCTGGTTCTTGCTTGAAAACCCTAGTGAGTTTGTGAGCACTAGAAGAAGGGTTCGATTCGATGGGAATGACCAATCTAACAGAAAGAGATCGCGGTCGCTCATGTCCTTGGGGTGCGGGGAAGGGGTACCCAAATGAGTGAGCCAGTCACTAGGCCCTAGAAGAGGAAGGGATCTTAGAGCATGTGAATTACTTGCATCCGCTCTGGCGTTTCTCACCGTTGTTGGTCCTATCTTCATCTAAAATCGGCTCTGTTCCCCCCCCCCCTCCAAGGACGTGCGCGCCGAATCGCGAAAAAGTTTCGTGTGGTCAAAAGCGAAAAAGTCACTCCCTATCCTAGCGACCCACGCCCGTAATCATCACTGCTGAGCGACAGAGGTGGACTGGCTGAAATTACCACGACTTAGTAGGCTCCTTTTGAAAATCGCCGCGCAGCTTCCTCGCATTTACTTAGGTAAACGCCGGGAAAATGGATTATGAAGAGGTTCAGCTGTTTACCTTCCAGCAGATCACAGTCACTTCAGATTGCGGCACTGCGCAAGAAAATTGCACTGAGCAAGGAGCGAGCTCAAGGAATTGTTAACATGGTAAGGTGGTAAACCCAACCCACAAATATTGTGTAATGTATGTATATAATAGAGTGTTTCAGAGTTGGCGAACGCACGTGCGATGATTAGGCGACTGGGCGATTGGTCGACAATGAAAAATATATGTATAGATTAGGCGGATTGGGCGAGTAGGCGAGTAGGCGATTAGGCGGGGAAGACAACATACGTATTGATTGGTTTGCTCCGCCCATAGAACGTTGTAGGCGAGTAGGCGAGTAGGCGATTAGGCGATTAGGCGATCGCTCATGGGCGGAGCAACAAATCAATGTATCCTTCTCTTATCGCCTACTCGCCTACTCGCCTAATCGACTACTCGCCTAATCGCCTAATCGCCTAATCGATACGTATACTTTCTTTTGAATCATCGCCTAATCGCCTAATCGCACGTACGATCGCCAACTATGAACGCTCCATAACTCTACTTAATGTAGAGATCTCTCCAAGTCTCTGTGGAAATATTCTTGGTCAGAGATCATCAGGAAATTGGACGAAGACAGTTTCAGGCCCACAAAAGGCTGGCTTATTTGCATGAGTTGTGGAGTGAAACACCGCAAAAAGAGCCTAAGAAGGACGATAAAAGCGACTCGTTGAGGTAGGATTATTACTCACAGTCAGATAAAGCAAGATCGAAATTGGTGAAGCAAATGGCAGCGTCATATCACAACTACACCCACTGAATCGAGTTCCAAATAAGGTGACGAAGAAGTGGTTTAAAGGATAACACTTTCGGCGTCCCTCAATCTCTTTCGTGTTGCGCCACGCATTCAAGTTCCATTTGAAGGAGTAGTTGTACTTGAATGCAGTGTGACCCATGCAATGACTAGGAGGGTCCGTCGACGTACAGTGAGGGTTTTGTTCTCCCAGTCGACCTACTCCTGAGAAACACGGGGCGCTTGGCTGGCCTGGCGCTGTCGATCTGAGAAATCCGACCCTTGACGCGTTGTTTTGCTAAGACCGCCAATTAACACCACCTCCGCCGATGCAGACTGGCCAATAATGTACTAGCACCATAGCAACCTTCCTTAAAAGAAACTGCCGTTCAGGAGCCCAATAAAACTTCGAAGGAAGCCTACGAATTACAGGAATTTAATATCGAGTAATCCAATTTCCTGAAGCATTCTCCACATACTACTATACTACGTATCGCAAGCACACAGCACTTTGCTGATGCGCGCCACGAACACATAGCAGAAGTTGATCCTCAAAAGCCGAGTAGGAACTATGGCGTATCACAACTCGAATTCGAAGAGTAGAGCTAATAAATATAAAAGATCTGAGCAATCGAACCCTTTATGACCGTGTGTTTGCTAACCCGCCAAATTACACACCCCCTCCTGCCCACGATCAACTCTTACAGTAATCGATAGGAGGTAGGTTGCAAGGTGTCAGCGGCGCGCTCGGCCTCTATTGGCCTCTTGAGGAGCTTGATCTACGTGATCAACCCTCGGGAGGTCCCTCAAGCAAGTTGTCCTCGGGGCTCCCCTATTTAAGCTGCATTCTACCAGCTCGGGGTTACAGGTGGACCACCCAGGTCGACGTTCCTAAAGGTTAGTCTTCAAGGTTCTATGGCATTGCCTCAGTAGGCTACGATCCTGGGGGGGGGAGGGGGGGGAGGGGGGGGGGGGGGGAGGGGGGGGGGCCCTGTTGATGAACACTTAACTGTAGATTGAAATAGTGTTTGAACGGGTAGCTTCTCAAATGTCTTTTGTCCTTCCAGGCTCCGAAGAAGGCGATAACGCCGAAACGTCAGCCGAATAAAGTGGTTTTAACAATCTCGGTCACAAGCTGACTTATTCTACCATCCATACTGAAGAGAAATGCCGAGATTCATTGAGAGTCGAACGTGGACGCATAATGAGACCCAATAAGTAAGAAAAAGGGAAGAATCATGGTCAGAAACATAGGAAACCTCTTAGATATCTCCTTGCTCTGCACAGCGACGAACACTAAGGGGCAGACAGTGAAGAAAGAGATTATGTGAGTTGGAGAGGGGAGGGAGAGAACTTCTAAATGAAAGATCATACGTAATAACTAATACAAAACAGAAAAGAGGTACTCGCAGAGCTCTGCGCGCAGACAAAAGGCAGCGTCAGCGGACGATTGTACGCGGGCTGTGAAGTAGGACAGCTTACAATTTAAATCTATTCAACTTGCACAAAATCACCTAATACGAACCTCGACCTCGTCCTGACTCTGGCGCGACGGGCCTCCTTAGTAGCCCGTTCAGCCGACAATCGCAATCGGATACGTTGTGTGGATTTGATATTCTTGTCGCAACCCAACCTCACAGTGCAAACTTAGCACTCCACTCCGCAGTAGGAATCTCATCAGTGAGCGCCTAAACACCATTTCGCCTCCACAGCTATACTGAATTTGGCCTCATTCGACAATCTTCGGGAGACGAGTAAGTAAATCCTTGACTTTTTCAAATATCAAGTGAAGAGTAAGATTCAACAAGATCCCCCTCACAGAGTACCCGCCATGCTACTCAACGGGCTAGTACTCGGGGCCAATCGGCCTCCCCAATTGAGTTATCTTATTATATTGCATCTCTAAGCAGACGCCATTGAGCATGGGCCCGTTCAAACGCTGAAAGTTCGCTTCAAGTAATTTAAGCCACCGCCATCAACCGTAGACAAAACACTTCTTTGTAACACTCTTCAGCTCGAATAACAACACAAAGGCAGACTTTACGATGAAAAGGCAGCCCATTGGGAATTAAATTAAAGCAACAGTCCCAGCAGGGTTTTTACCTTCAACACTAATGGTGTGGAACGATGCGCTAGCCCTAGTCAAGAACATAAGAAGTGTGACTGAACAAAAAACTCACCTTGGAAAGCCGCTAGAAAGGGAGCTGAACGGCTTCGAAGTGGGCGTGGTTGCTCAGTCGGCTGCAATCCCCTCGGCCGACTTCCAACCACGCCCACTTCGAAGCCGTTCAGCTCCCTTTCTAGCGGCTTTCCAAGGTGAGTTTTTTGTTCAGTCACACTTCTTATGTTCTTGACTAGGGCTAGCGCATCGTTCCACACCATTAGTGTCGAAGGTAAAAACCCTGCTGGGACTGTTGCTTTAAAGATGTTCAGTGATGCACGAAAGAAGAAAAGCCGAAAAAATGACACAGAACCTGAGAAATGAGACCCCTTCCCTGCCGTTGATATGGAGCTACTTTCATTAGTGCTGCACTCTTACGCTTACGCTCTCTCTGCTAGACGTTTAGACACTCAGACCCGAGACGATGTTAGAGGGGGGTGTAACGGGGAATAGCGCGCCAATTGAGCCGCGGGAAAGGCCATTCTAGTTCGGCGAGGCACATCCTTCGATGCGGATTGCATGACGATCCGCATCCTCAATAGGTCCTTGTGTCTCTCCACTAGGCTAACCTTCCCCTTCCTCGTCCTTATCGGGGAATCCTTTCTTGAATAAAGAATATGAGGCGAGGTCCCAACAATATGTAAGCCACAACTGGGAGTGATCGGGTTTAGTGGCTAAAGATATCGCATTGTATCTGCACAGTCCACGGGAGTTCGAACGGAAGGCTGGATCACCAGTACATCTCAAACATCTCATGAGCATAGGAACACTTCTGAACAAAATTACTGCAAAACCTAGAACGGTTGCAGACACGTTCAGGAGAAATGGGCGGAGTCACTCAGATCATTCCATCCTTACTGTTGATGGCTACTAGTTGTGAAATGGCTCAAAGAAAAGAACCACTGATGGGAGGGCGAACGCCCGAGTGAATTGCCCGCATAGCAGCGTGAAATGTGCCTTCAAGAGAATTCTGAGATCGTTTCAAACCTAATAAGTGGTATTAAGGCGGTGCTTTCTCGTGCGATCGCAACGCTGGATAACATATCGTTGTCAACACCGTTCACCGAATCCAAAAAGGAGTCGGCTCGTCTCGCAAAAGATCTCCGCGATTTCGTCGTTAATCTTCAGCTTGCTGTGAGTTTTGAGATCTCTAATAAATGGGGTATAGCAGTTTTTTAATATGCACGATGGAATATGGACAGTTCACAGTAGAGAAGTGGAATAAATGATAAAGGCGCAAATGCCTGGGAACGACTCATTTTGTGAGACGCTCGCCTCTACCCCTTAAGATGAGGAACGAGGGCGTGGTGGACGAGTGTTCTGTGCCCGCGCGCAGTCGTTTGCGTTGTGCGCGCTGGTACAATCCACGTGCTGTTCACGGTGGCGCAAGGCGCATTACTCTCGTCCGTTTCTTAGATCGTTACTTATGTAAGCGCCCCTGGCATCTTTGTGTCCGTCGCTTTTTCACAACAGCATTGCTATAATTCTCGTTGGCAGCTCTTTTAGGCCGATGTCAGACTTTCGCGATTCGCTAGCGTCTGCGGTCGCCTCGCGGTCAGTGAATCACTCAATTGGCTGGCATCACCGCAACGCGACCGCGGACGCTAGCGAATCGCGCGATTCGCAAAGTCTGACTCGGCCTATCCGGGCGTTCCCTTATGAGCCGCCGCGCTATCGAAGGAAGAGACGCAGACGCGGCAAAGGAGGAGAACGCAGCGCTACTGTAGCGGTCTCGATGGCATCACCGAGCTCGCGACTTCCGCTCCTTTGCCGCGTCTGCTCGTTCCTTCGCTCGCGCGAACGGGCCTCTAGGGAGACAGCCTCTGTTCACAGACCGACTGTCTCCTAACGACATTATCTGGCTGTTGGTTTAACTAATTGCGTGCAGCAGGGCGAGAACCGTTCTTGATAGATTTCTGGCTTTTCTTTTCAATATTTCAGCAGAACCGCCCGCATTCCGGCTACGGGTTCAGCGAGGGGCAGCATGTCATTGTGGCTTTCTCACAAGCGGGACTGTTTGTACATAGCACTAAGTCGCACGCAGCACTGACTTGGGGGATACACAATTCATAAAAGCGTACCGCTTTCGCAACGTTTTCCATGCTGTATGAATAGAATGCAGGTATCAGCAACAGGAATCGTCCGCGTGTCGCCGCGCGCTCGTTTGGCGGCAGTGGCGGTCGGGACGCTGCCAAGTTTTTCAGTGGGCGCAGCATTTTTGATTTTGACTGTTGTGAAGCGTGAATTTACTGTAATTCAACGTGAACTAATCTAGAACCCAACTAGATTTCTACTCGATAGAATCACCAATAATCTCTGGCGGCAGCGCGTTGACGTATCCGCCAAATTCCAAACTTTCTTGCACTAGATTTTTCATAGCGAACGACTTGAACAGCTTCGCTTTCTGTCGTACAGTTGTTGATGAACCACGGCGGAAATAACCTGAATTCAAGGCTTGAACCACTATCCCGAGCCTTGATTGAGGTTTTAGAAGTAGACGAATTCTGCATGTCTTGGCAGATAAGCATCAACTGCCATTTTCGAGTTAGTTCTCGCGACTCGGTGATTGGTACACGAAAGAAGGAAGAACCATGAGAAACGGCCCAGAACCTGAGAAATGGGACCACTTCCTTGCTGCCCGTTGATTTGAGCATTGATGCGACTATCATCGCTGTGCCCTCTTCAACGCTACGCTCTCTCACCTATCTAATCACTCACCACGTATAGACCTGCGGCGAGTGATCAGATGATCGGTGGGCGTGCACTGACCAGCCGCGGCGGGATTAAACCTTAATAGGTCAACGAGGTCAACTCCTCCTGTGCAAATTGTGCTTCAGTTCGCACACTTAGGAGCTCCGCGGGTCCCTCAACCAGGTGAATTCTTCCTAATTCGATTTTCCCTCTGATCGTGAATTCGTCCTTTAAATGTTAAAGGGGGCGTGCGGCGGCTGCGCTCGCAAAATATTCAAGTTCGATGTCGCCCCGGAGGAACGGTCTGTTCCACTGCGTCGACGTTGCGGGAGCGATGGATTTGGATCCGCTGGGGTCACGCGCCATTGCGCGCCACGGCGGGAATCCGGCAGAACTACCGGCGGATGCAGGGCGCTTTGTTAGTGTGTCAGAGCACAACTACAGCTAGGAATTCCACTTGTACCGCTACCGACATTCTGCTCACTGCGCTGCGACTTCGTACCGCGACTCTGCCTTCTTGCCCGCTTACATTAGGGTTCCTGGAGCACCGCGTAGTAATGGGTTATCGGTGAGGGTGCCACTGCAGAGAGCGGTGAAGCTTTGCTTGAGAAGTGACGCTTCATACTAATACTCACGGGGCCGCGCCGCTCGCAATAAGGACTCAATCACTGTGCCATGTATTGGCCCCGTATATATCGTATTTATCCGCCGCGCGAGCGAACTGTAGTTCGTGTGCGGCCGCAACGCGTGACCTCTTTCCAGCCACCCTCCATGCTACGTATATTCTAAGGAAAAAAACCTGGCAAAGACCAACGAAGCTAGAAGCAGCCCCCCGTCAACACCACAAGCCACTAGTACCATGACAACTGGAAACACCACTGCTACAAGTTTGGTAGGTGATATCTGCATACTGATCTTTACCTTACTGTTCACGCATGACTTACAGTTTGGCAGTCCTCGCACCATAGCCGCCGATGGTGGAAGTACAGAAACTGCTTCCACGAAGACTGCACCAGCTCCGGCCACGTCTGCAGCTCGCTCTACTCTAATGATCACGGCGAAAAGTGCTTCTCCTTCTGCTCAGGCTCACACGGCGAAACCGGAGTCTTCTGCTCCAACTCCTGCCAGTCTTACAAAAACTGCTCTTCCTACGACACCTCCTCCGGTCTCGACAAATGCTGCCCCTCCAACGACTCCACCACCGGTCAGCTCGACGAAAACTGCTCTTCAAAAGCCTCCATCCCCACAAGCCTCGAAACAGCTACCAACTCCAATTCCTCAGGCGACTCCTGGGCAGACGGTACAAAATTTCCTGATTATTTAACGTATTTATTAATATTCTGAAATTGATTCATAACTTATTGGGTTACCTTTTTCTTCTGTGTGTTTCGTAACCGGGAATCTGGCGGGCATAACAATTGTTGGCCAGAGGCACAATCCATAATGAACTCCTGAGCAGAATTGCTTTTATGTATCGATACTGAGCCCCTTCCTCTAGAAGTAGCATTGCAAAGACCTCAAAGACCCTGCCCATTTGATACGAATATGCATTCAACTGTGCAGAAAGGAAACAACCCTAATATTTAAGAAAGGGTAATGCTCCGTTAAACCCTTCAAAATTATTTCATTATATCATCCGCAACCCATGCGGTCACGAGAGGGAAAAGGAGAGGGTGGAGCAGCGTAGAAGCAGGGTCACCGGCTTAGGGGGGGCGGGGTACGTAAAAATCTCTCGAAGGGGTCGTATTTCAGTTTTCCGGGTGGGGTTCGGGTTGGTGAAGATCAAACGGTGAAGAAAAGAGGGATGGTATATTTGGAAGTTGAAGGGGTCGTTTTGGTAGGAGAGGGGTCGTGTTTCAGAGGTTTTGTGACCATCTCGGGAAGTACTTCATGAAAGAAGCAAGAAGAGGGAGAAACTAGAGTATTTGCCGTTTCTTTGAACATATCGCGACCCTTCAAAGAGCGGCGGGGGGGGGGGGTTCGTAAAAATGTTGGAATGTGCGTAACGCGGGGTTGACCCTGGGTGGAAGGGAAGGGGAGTATATGTAGATTGAATGCAAAACCTCTCGAATTCCCATCCCGGGGCCATTTATTCTGGGTAAACAGTCAAATGTTAAGATTTCTTATCTTGATGAGTAGATGGCGAGTGCAGGATTTCAGGTTTAAACTAAGCCTTTCCCCGAGAAAGTTGTGGTTCGCTGGGGGGATGATATGACAAGGCTGACGCACTAGGACCCTCTGTAGAATGCAGCATCGGCTCCGCCCAACACCACTAACCCCACCCACAAATCAGTGCTATTCCTTATCGCTGCTACTAGAGAGAAAGACTTTTTTTCATCCTTGTGGATGAGCTTTCCCATTTTTTTTTCATTTTTGAACACACCACATCC